ATTTCAAATTCAAGTCTATTCTGTATGTCACCAGTCCATTGTGAATTTCATGGGAATTTCATAGCATAAACACTAGCATTAATATTGTCATTAGTGAATGCTACAATTCGTTTTTACCACAGACTTTTAAAAAGCCAAGTTTTTTTAATAATATTATGCATTGCTTTGTCTTCTGTCACATAAAATAGCATATTAAGTTTTCCAGTAAGAAAAATGTGTCTATCCCCTTACATATATATATGAGAATGAAATTTTGGCACTCCAGAGATGGAAACCGAAAAGCATTGCTTAGTCTACAATTAGAGAATGTATAACAATTTGCCTCATGATTTGATGAGCCTAAAAAAATCGGCCTCTAAGAACCAGCATTGTAGTCTAGATTCGTTCTTATTTCATCTTCGTAAATACTTTGGTAATCACGCCCAGGCTGAGCTACAATTACAACAAAGGGTATCGAGGCTCGAGGTAATCTGGCTCCCTCAAATTGCAACGTAGTAGCAAAAGATGGTTTCCAAATGTCATATTTTTTGCTTAAGGAAGTATTGCATTGATGGCTATTTTCAATTCTCACTTTATCAACTCCCTTGGCAATTCTAACTTTTATCTGAACATTTCAAAGTGATGCTATTATCCTCGATACCGGAATGTTCTATTTTGATAGTATTTTTTCGCAATATTGCTCGGGCTATTTCTGCCTTGTTTCCTTCTTTTTTTTATTCTATTGCCTTGCAAATGTATATTTCTCTCTCGACAACTTTAGTTCACTAGCATCAACTTCTTTGGGCTTTCTTTGCATATTTCAGCTTTTCCATTTTTCTATTTGATGTTGATCTTCTTTCCATTTACTTCAGCTTTTCATTTTGTCTGTCTACTCATGCCTCCAGCCCATGTTCAACCAGACGGTGCCAGTCATGCCTGGTTGGCGGGTCTTCTTCCCGACGAGGTGTACGCTTTCAAGGCGACCACTTGGTGCCAACCCGACGGCAGACCGACGGCACTCACGCCTATTCTGCATCGGCGTACTCAGAAGACGGGCCAGAGCTGGCAACCGCAAAACCCTGCAGCCTCGGTAACTGAAGACGACGACGTGTCTGACTTTG